TAAAAAAGTTTGATATAAACATATGTAATTATGCCCTTTTATTTTGATAATGAAAAAGCCATGGAGAAGAAACTTAACACAACTTATATATAATGGCTTAAAAGATATTGAGGTTTGTTACAAGCCAACTCTCCTTTAAAAATAAGAAATCATTAGAGTGTGCAGTGATTTGAAGATTGTATTTTTTATCATTCTCAACCTTACCTCTATCTCCCCAGAGTTCTCTCTTTACATTTGAGTTAATTTGTTTTTCACATAGATTTGTAGAACTCATATAGGATGTTTGGTTTCCAATTTGCTTATTCTACACTTTTGTCCAATTTTAACAGAATATCGTATGATATATGGAACTATCAGATATACATTTTATGATTTATTTTTAGAAGTATATGTTAAGAGATATTTTAATATTTTAAAAAACTGTAGACACCATAACCTACTACTAATTTGTCAGTGTGCTTAATAACTTTGGAATATAAATACATATACATCTCTTTTGGTAACCATTTCTTATCCTGTAATGCATGCCATTGAAAATACCTAAAATTTTAGATTCAGATTTAGTGCCTTTTATATATTATTTATGTTAATGCATGACTGTAAGTTATCAATTTATGTACATACTAAATGTGAAGTCTTGACACCCATTTTCTTGTATAATTTGTTCTTACCTTATTGAATTGTTTTTGCAGTCTGTGTGCATTGTAATGTTGGATACTTATTTTATGTACATGTACTTCATAATTATTTAACTTCAGTTATGCATATGGTTTCATTAAATGGATGAATGAAAAATGAAAACTCTTTTTACTTATTTCCCCAAAATACCTACCTTGCAAACACAGTCTAGAATCCACCCTGTCTATAAAGTATATTCAGTTTCTCTATATTTCAAGAATTGTTGTACTCATTAGTGCAGTTAATATCACAGACAGTATGGTGTAACTGGATAAAATGTTGTCTATCTCGTCATCCTACAAAATTCCTGAAAAACAGCCATTACTGTGTTACCCTAATTTTTGCAGTATTCAGTGTATGCATGTATTGTATTTACACACTAAGTCCACAAATTATGAGGAATGTCAGTTTTTATGATGTCTTTCTATGATATATTTCAGAACCTTGTGAATGACAACAGCAATCAGATAGTGATAGTGAAAGGCGCCAAGCCAGCACCACCTGAAGTAGCACCTAGTGAACAGAGTACTATGCAGCCCTCCTCAGGAGAAGGTGAGTTTTTCAGACAGGCTATTAGGCATAACTTCTACTCTGTCATTCAATTTTCAATTCACTCAATACACCCTTTAGTTATGAATAAGCAGCTCATTATTTATGAAGAGAGAATAACATAACAAGTTCTTTCTTGACCTCTTCATTATCTGTCTTCATTTGAGATGAATATAGACCAGTAACAACATTCAGGTGGGAATTTTTTCCGAAAAATTTAATGACCAGACAAAAGGAATGGAAAAACGCCAGACATGCAGTAAAATAATAACTTTCCCAATGTTTTTGTAGTACAACAAAATATTAACTCAGTGAATGGAAATGCTGATGATGCAAGGGAAAAATAACAGAAATGCTTTCTAGAAAAGAGCATCTCTTTTTTCTTGCTCTTTTATTTTTGTTTAGCCTGGTGTTGACCAAACTTTTCATATCCTTGAGGAATGTTGATTGATTTTGGACTCCAATTCTTGTTTGCTCTCTTAAAGCATTACATGATATGCTCACTACATAAATCAATTGACATTATGTGTATAGAAATGCCATGGGGTATACATTTCAGATTTTGTTTAACTTAAAGAGGCTGGATGTCAAATAAACCTAAGAAATATTTTTCCAATTGCAGCATACCTGGTTATGTTTCTTGTCTCCCAGGTAGACTGTGAGCAATTAGCTAACTTATTATAACAGTAGCGAACACTTGGTTATGTAAAGATGGACTTTCAATGGAGATTATTGACTCTCTGAAGCAATTTCATGCATGGTTGGAAAGAATTAAATAGATCAATCATTGGCAGTTTAAATGAGACGTTAGGTAACATTGATTCATTAAGCTCAATATGAGGTGGATTAATTACGGCACAGTGTGTATATTTGTCCAAGCCATTTAAATGCCCCATTTTAAAATGGCCTTTCTGTTTAAAANAGCCTGGCTTAATTCGTTGAGAATGCGCTCTTAGACAAGAATTCTTACTTTCCTATCTTCATGTTTATATACATTGTATTCTCTAATTTTCTGTCTAACATCTTTCAGAATTTAAGTGTACACAGACAGTTTCTTATTTCAGTTTGATAAAATTGCAGATTATGCTATGTATTGAAATGTTGTTGAACATTTTATTACTGATTCTCGTATAGAAATCTGGACAAATAAATGAATAACCTAAACTTTGAATAACCAAAAAGAAAAAAATCCACAATGCAATTTATCTATTTATTGTTTCAGATCAATCTGCTGGTTGGCCTGATATTAATGAACAAGATCTTAAAAAATCTTCTGGAAAAGGTAGTGCAGCTAGTTCAAAGATGTCTGCAGCTTCTCTCTCCAAACTTCCTGCAGCAGCACCTGCTCCTTCAGTGGACATGCTGCCCTCTGCTGGGAAGGGGGAGTTTTCCAAAGCCCCAGTCTTGCCTCCCATTCAAGCTGGTCTTACAGCACAAGGTGAGAACATGAAATAGCCATTATATATATTTTACTGCAATCAGTGATGTAGAGCATTTTTATAATGTTTTAATTTGTTTTTAAAAAATAATTTAATGAATCATATGAGATCATACGCAATTGATCATTAGTAGCGTCTTCATTATTTTAAACTACAACTATTCAGCATGTAGTCATCTTTACCTTAAATATCATTGACATAGAGTATTGATTTTTATTTAGGACCTGGAGTTGTACCTCACGTCCATATCGAGCCTCCGACACCACAGCAGTCAATTCTTGCCTCCAGAGAGCAGACCAACCTCACCCGCACCGCCAGCCAGATGACCAATAGCAGGCTGGAGGAACATGATGGTAGGGTCATAATTAGTTGAGTTTTTATTGTTGTGATATCCTGTATACACATTCAATTCATCTATTTAAGTATCTGTGCTCTATGAAGCAAGGAGTTGCAACTCCTTGTATGAAGTAACATGACATATTTTCAAACTACATTATAGGAAGTTGAATATCAGCCAGTAACTCATTTTATCTCATTTTTTGAAAAGTATGCAGACATTTTGCTTAATTTTAAACAAATATTTAGTGATACTGTGATAGTCAACAGTAAAATTGTAAAAGCTGGTATGTGAAAGTGGTTTTACTATGAGAAATTTGTTGAAATGTTTATATACATATAAACAAAAGAAAAGAATATTTAACATTTATGAATATATAATTGAACATTAAGTTTTGCTTAATTGTGTTATGTTATCTAGAGTGCATATTACCCCTAATACTAATCCAAACAATATTACAGAAGAAGATGAGGGGTTGGAAGACCAAGAGGAGCAGGAGCAGTGGGCAACACATGTTGATGAGGAAGAAATAATGAAGAAAGCAAATGAGAAATCAGCTGAGAAGAAATCAAGAGTACCTCTCAGTGCAAGGAGCAGTAGAAGTAAAGGTAAAAAGGGTTATCATTATATTACAGAACAGTGGGGGTGGTATTATTAAATTTAGAGGATTTGAAAATGCTTATGAGTTATAAAAACTGAAACTATATTAGAGGTAAGATCTTTGTCTGATTTAGAGAAAGTCACAATGGCCTTCAGCCTTCAGATATGCTGGGCAATTCTGTGAAATGCTATGTAATAAATTGAAAGTATTATACTAGAAATACATTGTATTTTAAAATACTTGAAGATGTCTTTACACCATTTGGCAATACATTCACATACAGAAACAGATAAAGTATCAAAATTGAGATATGGTGTATATGAAGGTAAACTGGTCTCTTTCATCTCACAGGACCTATGGCTGCGGGAGGTCCCCACTTACACAGCAGTGCAGAGTCTCTCAGTGCTTCCCTTAACTCCCTGGATGACCTTCCCAGGGTGCACTCAGCAAGGTCAGGGTTCAAGGCCAGTCCTCTGGGTTCTGTGACAGGAAAAAGTGTATCTTCCAAGAAATGTAAGTTGAAAATGTTTACAGGTCAAAAACATTTTTGTTTCACTTTTTACTTCAAAAAGTTAACACACAAGCTGAAAAAAGTTAAAATTAGAATAGGCATTATTCAGCTCAGCACTAGTCCACCATCTTAGCAAACGCAATTCATCCAAAGGATTACATCTGGGTAGTGATTACTTAGTAGAATATTATTTTCTAGAGATGAACTCATGCTGGGCTGGTAACTTTCATCTAATGAAACATTGCAATCCAAACACATTTTGCTCTTGTCTGTTTTGAACAACTGTTGACACATTTCAGCACTTTATCTGAGCGTATTCCAAGGTTAATATAAGACCACCTCTCTGAAGTTCTTTTAAAAAGTTCACGGTCATTAAAATATTGTCACCTACTTCATAGCTATTGGAAGTGCCCAGAGCTATGCCAGCCATAGGAGTCACAAGAGTACAAAGAGTGATGATTCACATAAAGGCAGTGTGGTACTTCTGAATGGAGGAGCACTGTCTATTGGTGGTGCTGTAATCATGAAACCCAAGGATTCTGAGGAACATCTGGCTGTGGAAGTAGGTGGAGGAGGTGGGTATACTGTAGTTTGTATGACTGTTGAGATGTATGCTATATTGTGTGAGGCTCTACATTGTGAAAAACAAGAAACATTGCTGAATCATCACATCAAAAAATAAATAAATAAATAAATAAAAATAAAAAAATAATAGATAAATAAATAAATAAATAAATAAATAAATAAATAAATAAATAAATAAATAATTTTTGCTAAATACAATGTAAATTTTTTAGGTGATTTTCTTATGTAAGAAGTTCTTGTTTTGATATCTTTGTGGCAACAGTGCCATATAGCTGTTGGGTTGTTAATGAGTAGTAAATAACAATAAGCAACATTAAAATGGTTTAATTGTTTGTCCACAGATGGCAGAGATTCAGGACACCATTCAGAAGAAGAGGAAGCACCACTGCATGCATCTGGACATGCACGTGCACGTGCTGCACCTGCTGCACGTACAAAGGAAACTACACAACAAGAAAGCAAGGTTACTGAAGGAAGTTCAGATGTAGAAAGACAATATGGGAAATACCGAGGTAGGACACCAATGCATCATAATTTAATTATCATTTACCTTGAATTTAAGTAGCTTCTTTCAGGAAATAATAATATATTTTCTTTACAGGGTATCTGTCCATAAAATTACTTTTTTCTATACTAGACATCCTAAATGACACCAAGTGAATGGTGAATTAATCCATATTTTTATACCATCTTAGAGATAGTGAGTAGTTAAAAGAATCCTGCATTTTGTTGCATTTTCATTCCCAAAATTCCTTAAAGATTTAGTGGCAACTAACAGCAGTCTGCTTTACTGAGGTTTGATTTTTCGTTTGTATTCAATTTGCATGTAATATCTGCTATTTGATGTCAGTATTGAGACATAGTTTCAACAAATGAATGTAGACATTCTTTGTCCTTATTTTGTTTGAAGATTTTAATAATACCCTTTTTTATGATCTTTTGTATTGCTTTCCACTGTGTATGAATTAATGATTTTCAAATCCTAACTTTTTTGTGTTTGAATCTTTTTTTAATTGGACAGCTGTAGACTTTCACGGTGGTGATTTTGATGCCACGGCATCCATGTACACCTGGAGTTACAATCCCCAGGGGGAGTCCGTGTCAAAATTTGGCACATCAGTGCGGTCAAGCACAATTATCACAGGTCACACAGGTAGATGGTAGAACCAATATCATAGCTGACTAAGCAGCATTAGGCTAGGCACTATATAGTTAATATGCAAATGCACGCCTGTATATGTTAACAGTGCTTTGTGATGTCACCTGCATGGGGCTATATTCTAAAGTCTGAAACCTTTTTCCATAAACATATTTTTTCATTAGAAACATGCATATATTTTCAAATTAATTACTTAATATTCAAATGTACGAAGGTTCTAGACTTTGTAAAATATAATCCCTGGTTGATAGAACTGTTGAGAGTCAATGGCAAATACACAGTAGCTATTAGGTAGTGATGCTCTTACAAACACCAACTAAAACTTACATAAAATGGAGCTACATGCTTTAATTATTAATACAATTTTTTTTATTCCAGGTGGCTTGTTTGTAACTGATATACTTATAAGAATCATATATATACATGCATATTGATTATGAAACAGCATGAGGATTAGGGATTACTTATTATTAATCGGTTTTCTTCATTGTTTTAGTTATTACACATGTATGCCATATATTGTATATGCATCTAGCACATCATAAATCTGATTTTAGTTTAGCACCATAGCATGACATTGTTTTATCCTTTATGTATAACATTGATCTTATCTTATATACACACAGACATGAGGATAACTTTTGAGGTAGTGACAGTCCCAATTCTGTGCTGGCCTTAACTAAGTTATTTCCATTACCCTATGTTGACATATTTGATTTGTTTTTAATTATTGTATTTACAAATAAACCTTGCCAGTCCAGAGGACCTGCTTTACCAAAATTTATGCCAGTCCTCCCCTTCTTCAGGTGGTCATGACTGGCCAGACAGACAGTTTCCCCATATCTGTACACATACTTGTAATTTACTAATTGCAGTTAATACATAACAGTATATTAAGACATACTGGTATAAAACAGTACAAGTCACGGCTTCCTCTATATGTATTACTATATATGTATTACTATAGATATTGCTGTTGTATGAATGTTATGTATGAGTGCATATGGCTATTGTATTTAGAGGCCTTCAATATATGACATGGATCAGTAATGCTGCTGAGTCGTTATAATTTGTATAATTGACCTTTTAACCCTTTTATAACATTCAGTTTTATAATTGCACATGAACACCCAGTAGTTTTTTTAAATTTAATTTATTTATTATTATTATTATTTTATTTTATTATTATTTTTTTATTTGCTTGGGGACTTAAACTATCAACATAATAACATTTTTTCAGCTGACTCAGTTTCTGAGGGTTTGCCTGCCTCAGAGTATTCTGTACCACCTGCCAAGTCTTCTAACACCCCTGCAGTGTTTCTTGAGCCTGAAATTAGGGTTCAGAAGTCATTGTCACCAGGGTCTAGCTTGGGACACTCTGATGTTTTAACAGGGCTTGAAGGTACAGCATGATGTCACATGCATGTGTGATGTCACGGGGATTGCATTACCTCACTGAAATTGCTGTGATGTCACTTCAGCTGCATGACGTTTTTGCCCTGACATGCTTGATATTACTTACACTTCATGATGTTATTTTAAATGCACAGTGTCACTTTGACTGCATGAAGCCACCTTTGACACCTTTGGTTTCTGATGCTTCACTTAACTTGTTGTGCATGTTCTCTTGTGACTTTTTACACCAATATTTTGTGTTGTTAAATTTTGTTTAGAAAATGTATTTCACTTATATACCTTCATGCACTTGCTATCTTAATTTTCTTTGCTTTTTTATCTTTTAGATTCTCACTTTTTATGAGCTGAAGATTCTAATGCATGAACTACAGCACATGTATTTTTCTGTTATTATTCTCTTTTCACATGCACTTTTGTTACAGGCAACTTGTTTGAATTTGCACAAATGATGAAGTAAAGTAAAGTCATTGTTTAGTAACTTGTATTTCATTGCTTCATTAGAGTGATTGTGTTTGTGGAAGGATATACATGTGTACTTTTATACCAGTGCTATTAGGCAAGCATTTGGTGCAAAATTTTTGCTTTGCTAAATTGCTTATTCTCTTTGGTGTTATATTAAGTGAGATTGCACAAGCACACACATACACACGCATCTAAATAAAAAAAGTACTAAGGCTTCGTTCACATGCAATGTCTATTTTCTAAATTCTATTTTCTATTCGCGCTATCTTATGATCACGGTCTGTGCACTGAATATCCCGCCGCGTAATTACTGGCAGCGCGAGCCAGTTACTTATATAGTAACTTATAGTAACTGGCTCGCGCTGCCAGTAATTACGCCGCGGGATATTCAGTGCACAGACCGTGATCATAAGACATACCGAAAATAGAAAATAGAATTTAGAAAATAGACATTGCATGTGAACGAAGCCTAAGATTTATATCATGCAGCTAATGAAGAACACTACATATGATATCAACGAAGACATATGCTTTTGAGAAAATGATTCATTTAAAGTAAACTTTTGGTAGAATTTTGTGCAGAGGTTATTTTAAGTAAAGACTTCAAGTTCATGTCTTTAATTTCCTGTACCAACACCAGTGTACCAGTGTCAAACACAATGTCACACTGCTTCACATCGCTATCATCACAACTACCACAATGTGACATATCTGAACACATTTGTATGTACATTCCAGCTGATAACCAGTCCCACTCTCATACCTCTGAGGCAGAAGCTGCAGCAGCAGTAACTGAGTCACAACAGGAGGCAGAGAAGAAATTGATTGAGGCACTGACTGCGCATGCTCGTGCGATCGCAGTCAGTGTTCTCAATAAGAGTGATGCAGGACAGGACCTAGAGGAGGATGCAAGGGTAGGTATATGATAATACCATGGGAGTAATGTGAAAAATTGGAAATAGTTTACCTATATTGTTATAGTTAATATACTGTACATAATGTTTTATAATGTTTTAGATCTTTGTGAAGAGAAGCTGACAGTCCTTTTATAAAATAAAATAACATTTGTGACACTGTTTTGAAAAATATGCCAGTAAAACAAACAAAAAAGTATTTACATGTATTTTTATATCACGTAGTTTAAAAGATAGAGTAACTCCAGTTGGTGGTGGAATGTTATTAGAATATTACTTCAATTAAAACCATGGATGCATGATCAATAATTGCATGATAACCACATATAACTTTCATTATTCACTCAGGAAAATTCACGGCATATTAAGTTTTCTGGTCACAATAGTAATTTATTTTATTTTATTTTTTACTTTAATTTATGATCATTATTATTATTATTATGTAGTGCATGTTAGATACAATAAGCATCACAAAGAGCTTGAATATATGTAAACTTAATTATTTTTAATTTCCATCTAAATGCATTTAAAAGAATTTACAGTGTTAATATTTTCATACATTTGCATGAATTTAACCTACATGCAGCTTCTTTTTTTTCATTTAAGTAGAAAGCAGTCTTTTAATCTAAAATCTTTGCTTACTGTCAAAATTTGGTTGCATTTTGTTTTAGCTTGCAGCTGAGTTGTGGATGGAGCGTTTGCCAACGCCAACACAAATTATTTCCCGTAGTCAGTCACTGAAAGATGTTTCATATTTAGACTATGAACATGATCATGATGAAGATGTAAGATTGAAGGGAAGAGTGTAGTGTATAATTGCACAGAATGTGGCTGTTTTCAGCACTGTGTGTTGAGTGAATTCATTGTCACAAAAAGAAAAGAAAACAAACAAACAAAAAAAAAAAAAAAATAAGAAGAAGAAGGAAAAAAATTTGTTAGATGTTCTAAAAAAAAAATTCAAGATAATTATCATACTGGGTACTATTACCCTTGCATTTCATCAGCTGGATTCTGTGGAATCTTCGTTCAAATGTTGCTTTACATGAAAGGTGAAAGGCAGCCATTCCTCATAATGCTTATTACTTAACAATATTTTACTGAACAGAACAGCCAGTCACCTATCATTAAAGCACATTCTGAAATGATTACTCACTAGATGGCAGCACTGCACAGGCACCTTAACCCTAAACTTTTCCAAGAGAACAGCACATTAGAAGTGGTGTTGGGAAAATTACACTGGCACTGTACTGGTTATCTTATCTTATTTATTAGCATATGCACTCATTTTGTTTTCAGTTCATTTTTGTTGCTTCTGTTATCACTATGAATTTCATTTATTTATTTCAGTTTAGTTGATATGTTTTCAGTTCTTTATTTTTTCTCTCATATGAAGTAAAAGCACAAGTTTTGATTTATAGCAGTAGTTGATAGAGTTTTTAACAATTTAACATGACTTGATAAAAATATAAAAATTAATGATGACTGTAAACAGTAGAAGCATAATTTATAATTTTGTTGATTTGGTGTATTTTTTATGGTATAGGCTAACAGCATGCTACAACATAGTAGAGTTGAGATACACCCAGAAAAAAAGGACAACTTTTTCACTGGGACTTTTTTATGATCTTGACTCTGCAACAGTAATCAAGCTATTAATATATTAACTATATAAATGTCATGGTTTCAATGTGACTTTGTTGATTCAGGAGTTTACTTGTATTGCCATATTTCACTGACAGACATATGAATATTATGCATGAGTGATACCAATGTAATGGCATAATAAACAAAATATGACAGTTACAAATTCTGTGCACATTAGACATGCATGAGATAGATTATCATGAATGGTGGTGGTATCATCTACTTAGTTTTTAGAAGGGATGTGGTTACAAAGCCCTACATTTTAAAAATGCTTTGCACTCTTTTCAAAAGTTTTATTCTGGTGGCAGTTACATTCCATAGCCTATTCCATTAGATGAGCTTCTAAAGCCCATACATTTTATCCAAATCTTATTTATTTTTTGATGTTTTTTTTAGGAGGCTGTGATGGAGATAGTTAAACGTAGAATGAAGAGTGCTGAACCCACCGCTGCTGAGTACAGAGATTTACTGCGTGAAACACTGGCTAGTGTGGGTAGGTGGATAACTGAAGTGACAAAATAATAGGGATAAAAGAAGTCAGGTCTTTGAAAACTGCGTATATTTTGTGATATTGCTTGTGCTCTAAGGCATTGTTTTGAATGTTTTCTTACATACATACATACTGGTACTATACATATACTTTACATGTTTGAATTTTTTGTGTTCTTTAGATAGGACTACTGTGTGTATTCCCTGCATACTTTGTTCAGTTCTAAATTGGCTTTTAAAAATTAAACATCCCATCATTTCCTTTTAGATGAAAGCTCTTTAAATTAAAAAACTTTGTTTATGTTTTGCTTTATTGCTTTATTCTTTTTATACCTTGACTATTGTGGTGATTTTTAGACCACTAGAATGTGAACTTTTCTATTAAACTATTTTCTGTCTTTATTTATTTCAATTTAATTATAAAAAATCTTGATTTTTACATCATTTTCTTCATTACGTAAATGATTCAGTGACCAAGGGCACGGGTAGTCCCAGCGTTCATTCAGTAGATGAAGTAAGTCCAGAGTTGATAGAAGCTCTGGCAAACAAGGAGGACATAAGGCCAGAAGATCTAGAAATAATTCAAAATGAGGAAGGCAAGAGTGTCATTCGCTCCAGAACACACAGTCAGAGCCATAGTCAAAGTAAAACTCAAAGTCGAAGTCAAAGTCAGACACACAGTCGTGGTCTCAGTCATGGTCATAGTGAGGCTCGTAAAGGGACTGGACGCAGTGAGGTATCCCAGCATTCTTCACATGTGTCTCAGTCTCGGCGGTCCAGTGGGAGTGCAGTGAGGAGTGCTGTGGACACACTTGAGAGGAAAGCATCAGGACAGGAAGATGGCCACGTGATGCCGGAAGGTAGACACTATACTCACTGCACACCTTGCACCAGAGAGTTAATCGCCAGCAAATTTGTTTTCGTATGCCTATGTGATGTAGGCCTAACAGCAGACAACCTGCAGTTGAAAGCAGCACCTGTACCTCTTTTACTGTGCTTGCATGAAGCATGTGTCATTTATCATCAGCACCTGCACCAAAGATTATTGTTGGTCATCTGGCTTGCACGGTTAAGGGGCTACTGTTGTCATTAGGCCCCTGTTTGTAGTGTCCAATGCCTGCATTGAAATATGCTGCAACTAAATGTCACAGTGTCATGCCTGTGTGGTCGGTAATTGCCACTTTGAGTATGCCAACATTCACTTCACCAGCACATTTGATCCTCAGCATGCTTGCCTCCAAAATGTGCCATCATTTGGATAGAAGAAAGTGTTGTCATCGTGTGTGCTGCTACCTACAGTCTTGCTATTAACAATGCATGCACTGTAATCTAAATGCCAAGCTAACAAGAAAATATATGGCGTGATATGCACTAGAGAAAGCATTTTGCCAAGGTTCTGCTTGAAATTTCACTGGCACATGAACAGTTACTAACAATATACTTTTGGACAAATTGCAACATTATATTACTCACATATACTTTCCTCAGATATTATTTCCATTCCTGCATTGATAGTGCCCCATGTCTATGATAACATACAATTTGCTTGCCTTGCCAGCATAGAAAGCTGTGCTTTAACATAGTGCCTCTTCCACATAATAGCTTATCCTACATCCTTTAATTCTCATCAATAGTGACTGTTTAAATATGTATTTGTCATTAACAAGGACTTTATATTTGAACAAGAACATTTAATCAATATTGTAATATATCCTAGCTTTTGTTTCATTGAGGTAAGTTGCAAATAATGATGTTGGTTTTCATGTAGGAACTGAGGCATAAAATGAATTATTACATTACATGGTTATATGGAGTATTATGGGCATTCACAGTAAATATTTGTATTTAAGCATCTGCTGCTGACCAAATGGAAGATGTTGATGCACAAGTAGCTTCAATGGACCTTATCCCCTATGCTCCCTTGCCACCTATAGCTACAGCTGATGACAGTAGTGCACAACCAAGTCTACCACCAGATGGCTCTGGTGAAAGCTTTAAGCCATCTGCTCCAGGAAGCCCAGCAAAGTCTTCCAAATCTGCCAAATCTGGGAAATCTGCCAAGTCTGTGAAGTTTGTAGAGAATGTTAAAGAAGAGAAACCAGATCCTGTGAAAGGAAAGAAGAAAGCGTCAGCAAAGAAAGCGGGAGAGACATTAGTTGTGACAGTGACTGATGATGTAGAGCCAGAGTTGTCCAAGGAAGAAGCAGACAAAAAGGTGCTAGCAGAAGTTGCTCAGGTAAGATTCACTTTGTCCTGTTCATTGTGATTTTATGTAAATAGTTCAAAAGATTTCACACAAGTCATCATTTAAGGCTGTCAAGTCAACAGAGTTACGATACTGTAGTTAACAAATTAGTGGTTGATGGGACAGCCCCTGAAAGTTGCCTCATAGATCAGATCTTTTATTTTACAATTATTTTTAAACGATATTCTGACAAATTTCAAAAAGTATCAGAAAAAAGACTGCATCCACCTTTGCATATTATGCCATCTACTAGGAACAGAGTTGTTTGTATTATTGTTTAATATCTGTTCACTGATTGTTTCACCATTGATTCTTTCACTTGTAGGTGTAACTGAGCTAGGGGGTAAAAGAATCATGTCTTAAAGCTTCATTTTAAACTCTTATTTAAAAAAATTTTACAATTCTTATTGTTGTTGTTATTATTATTATTATTATCATTATTATAACTATTACTATCAGGAACTTGCTCAAGCTGATGCCAAATCCACAAAGAGTGCAAAGAGTGATAAAAGTTCAAAAAGTGCCAAAAGTGGAAAGAGTGCTAAGAGTGCTAAAAGTGGGGCATCAAAGAAGAGTAAGACGCCTGATGACAAGAAGATATCAGAGAAAGAATTTGTTGTTGGTAAGTGGCATTAACAGATAGTGGAGTATAGACAAACAGAAAGACAGATCAATACATGAATGATTAAACGAATAGACAAATAGATATAGAATTACGTCAATTAACAAAAAGGTTGAAAAATGTAGTCTTAATCTGTAAAATAAAAGATGGCATCGTATATTTAAAATGAGTTATATTTTTGTAAATTTATTTATAGATTTGACTTGAATCGATAATAAGGAAAAAATGATAATTGTTTCATTTTGTCAATACTGTTTCAAACTTTCAGGTAAAGTTGAGAACAAGAAAGAGTTGGAAGAACTTTATGCTCAGCCTGAAGATCCTGCTGCAAAAGGTCAGTATAACTGTCTGCGTGGACTACAATAATCATTTCATATATTAGAAACATTTTGTTTCTTAATGTAACTTACATAATTGTCTATGTTTATGTACGTTTTGACTTTGTAGTTAACTTGTGCATGTGTGAAATCTTTTATAGTATATCTTACAACCCTTTTATTGATGTATTCTGTATTCCTAGTAAAGAGAGTGATCTATACTATCCTATACATTTTGCATGCCTATAATATTAGTACATTAACTTATTGGTATATGTTCATAGATGGACCTTTAATAAATTTGCAAATATGTGTAATGATAATTAACTTTTTTTGAACATTAATAAATATAGATATTATTAATATTCTGTTGCATCAGGAAGTCAAGTTTTAACACCCATTAACAAAAAGGGTGGAGGTGAGAGAGAGTAGGGTGAAATAATGGGGAATTTCTGCATGCTCCCTTGAATGTTTTATATTGAAATTGGTTGTAGTGATGTTTTTTCCCTTTGTTTTAACTGATGTGATTTTAATAATTCCCCTGCATGTTAAGATATTTTAGCATCAAACATATTCAGAAGTAGAAAAATTTAAAGAATTCATGGTGGCCTTTTGACGCCAAAACATTTTAAGGTAAAAAGATCCATACTGAATTTTCTGCACATGAATAACATTTCCAGAAAATAATAAAAAACCCATTGTCAAAAAAGAACTCACACAAGAGAAATTGGCTGAGAAAGCTGCAGCAGCTGAAGCATTGGCAGACCGTTTCTTGTCTCAGTATGATTTAAGTGAGACTAAAACTGGTGGTAGGTTTAAGAAACGGGGCACTGAATGAAGTGGGCTATCTCATCCAAAGTCACTGCTTATTTTCCAATTTTAAATCCTGTAGATAGGTTATAATTTTATTAATCAAAATTATTAACTAAATTGGCAAATATTATTTCAGTTATCATTTCATTAGTAAAAAATCACTAAAAAATGAAGATTAAATTAAATCACTGTATATATTTGATTCTGCATAACTAACCAATTGATGTTGTTATTATTGTGCCTTGTGTTTGATATTATTTACCATTGTCACATTTGTTTGTCACTGTGTTGTCACGTGTCACTTTCAGTTAAGTCTGTCATTTGTTTACTTGCCTTTGTTCAACAGCACTGTCACATGACACATCATATGGCACAAAGCTCAGTAAACTACATTCCTTTGAATAGCATACCATTATTATGATGATGATGATGATGATGATGATGATGATGATGTACATTTGCCTGCTGGACCAGTTGCTTTCTGTATTAAATCGCAAAGTGTATTAATATATTCTAATATGGATTAAAAATTATGAATTTGAATTATGAATTTCCATGCTTCATGCAGACTAATTTATCTTGCTATTTATATCGTTCGCCTCATTACGTATATTGTGATTTTTTGCAAAAGAGTATTGGATATTGACTTATTGCTTTTCCCATTGACTCCATAGTTTTGCTAAAAAGTGGGCACAAATGAAGATTTTCAATGAATGATAAAATTGCAGCTTTGCCTAAAGAGTTAGTTGTCAGAATATTTAAACTATACATTTTCTTTGATTTTCTTCAGCATTTATATCATGTACAGTTTATGAACGTGTTTTATTTGATAGTTTTTATAAACTAATATTGCTTGTAATGAAACAACTCACTAAAAGTCGCATCTCTTTCATCAATAATATGGATTGGACCATGCTAGAAACATGTGCACAGCTTCATTATATCATATTACATACTTCATTTTAGATGCCAAGAAGCCAAAGAAACCTTCAGTGCCTGTTGTAAGCAAGGCTAAAAAGACAGCTCCAAAAGGTAAAAAGAAGAAAGAAGCAGCACCTGCAAAGAAGTCTAAAGCAAAGAAGAAGGTAGAGGAAGCAGACGAAGATGAACCACCCAAAACCCTCACTCCTACCACAGTAATGGAGGTGAAGGCAGAGGAGGGAGAGAAAGTAAGTAGAATTACTGCATCAATCCTCATTGAATCATGTGCTTTTTTTCAGAATGATGTCATTTCAAAATCATATTTTTTGTACAATAAGATATACAAGAATTGATTGTAACCTATTCTAAAGTTTATTATATTTATGTTCTCTTGTAGCAGTCAGGCACAGAGTCTCCCACTCCTTCTCACACCACCACAGAGAGCTCAATGTCCTTCATCATAGTGCGGGACGAGTTTGAGGCCACACCAGAGCCAGAGGAGAAGTCAGAGACCAAGTCCAGGGTCCTGTCCTCCATCCATACTGAGAAGACAGAGGAGGAGGAGGAGGGTGGAAGTGAGACTGAGGTAGGTCGAGATGAACTGTTCATCTTTATTCAGCAAGAACTGACACTTTTCTGTGGTTGGAGGTTTTCTTCCTATATATGTGTAAAATAGAGTTTAGATAGATTGGGAATTGTATTAATTATTAAAAGATAGAGAAATGCAGAGTTAAGGAATAGATTTTCTCTTTTTAGTATTGTTCTATCCTTGAATTATATTTTTGAGAATGCGGTATTTTTATATTTGTATTGTATATTGCCTATGGTTACTAGGGTTTTATATCTGTATCATCTTTGTCTGAATTTTATTTTGATCTACTGCAAATGTTATAACATATTAAATGAAATTTGTTTTATAGTATTTTTATTATTTTTTTGTTTTTCTTTGTAAAATAAAATGTTTTGGGCATACATATTGATTTATGAATTTATGGATTTTAGAAATAACGTAAGAAGGCAAGATATGTGATACTGCCAAATGGATATGTGCCAAACTTCTAAGATTGATGAGCATTATCTTAAAGAAAACGGGATATGGGTCAAAAACAGTTACTGAAAAAAAGTCTGCATAGGGACACAACCTTTGTACTTGTAGAGCTATGCAATTTTCTTCTTGTTATCAAGATCCATGTTTGTTTTAGTCTGTACAGCTGAAGAACGTTACAGACAAAGCTGCCAGAGAACGAAAACGACAAGCTGACCGTGAGCGAAGAAAACAGGAAGTGGAGAGAAAGAGGAAAGAACGTGAGGAACAGATCCGGAAAGAGAAAGAAGCACAGGAGGCTAAAGAAAAGCTTTGGAAAGAAATGGAAGAAGAAAGGAGAAGGAAAGAAGAAGAGATAAGGTAAATTAAATATTTTCCTAGGCATCTTTAGTGTCTAAAGTGCTATTATTTTTGGAAAGGAACGGAATGAGACCATAATTTTATTTGGATTAAGGAGCTGCAAAAAAAAAAAAAAAAAAAAAGCATAATGAAGTGTAAATTTTCAACAAAATAAAGGAGGTCAGTTTCAAAATGCATACCAGACATCTTAATGCTGCCAGAAAACAAATTTTAATGCTCTCTGTTAAGAAGAAACTGTGCAATTCCTTTTCACTGTGATCTAAATCATAACACACCAGTAGCCAATGTATGTTTGAAATATTGTTTTCTTTTGTAGACTACGGAAAGAACAAGCTGAAGAAGAAGAAAGACTGGCAGAGGAAAGGGAAAAGGAGGCTGAGAAAAGGCGCCTAGCAGAAATGGACCGTGAAAAGAGAATGAAGGAAGAGTATGTTAGAAAACTGGAAGAAATGAGAAAGAAGCAGAAACTGGAGGAAGAAAAGCGGAAAGGTACATGTATATGATGAAATAATGTCATGAAGATAGTTGCCTTGTTACGATGACATGTCAAAGTTAGGTAATTCTAGGCATATTATTTCATCTCAATAGATCAATCTTTTGCAGAACATAAGCAAGTTACCAGTAAGTAAAAAATCAATTCTAACTTAATGACATACTTAAAATGTCAAGAACACATGTATAAGTTTTTCATGCTCACTTCATTTTTTTATCTTGCAGAGTTAGAAAGGCAACGCCAAGAAGAAGAAGAAAGACTTAGGCTTGAAGAGGAGGCAATGTTGGCAACTATGGCAGAAGCTGAGCGAGAAGAATATGAAAGGAAAAAGAAAGAAGAGGCAGAACTGAGGGCTAAACGTGAAGAGGAAGAAAGGTAAGTTTTTCATGAAATGTAATATTCAAAACTCTCTACCAGGGCAACAGATTGCTATTTCACTAGATATTCACAGATGTTTTTTGCTAATTCATGTAATTTTTTTTCTTCTATACAGGACAAAATTTTTGCATGGAATTAATTTCATCACTCAACTGGCCTCTAGTATAGAGTAATATACAACTATTCTATGCCGAATTATTTTAATAAAATACTGATCAAATTATTTTATTAAAAATATTAAAATGCTGTTCAAAATATGAAACTTACAAAATCACCTATGGTAATTACACTCATTTAGTTCCTCAAGTTTTTAAAAAATAAGATCCAGATTTCTGTTTATTGAAAACAGCATATGTATAACATACATTCTTTAAAGTCTGACACATGCCTCAATTATCTGCTTTGATTTTTTTTAGAATCAAACGTGAAGAGGAGCTCCAGAAACAAATGGAAGCTGCACAAAAATATGCTGAGGAAATGGCAAGGAAAAAAGCTGAGTTTGAGGCCAGGATGATGTTTAATCGTGGCCTCCAGGTGGAGGCTAGTGGACTGGACCACACCCAGGACATCAACAGAGCTTTTGTCTGGTCTTATTATGAACTTTTGCAGTGGCTGGGAATTGATATACCAGATTTTGAAAAACAGAAACACAATCTGGATAATTTATGAAACCTTATCTGACTGACAGATGTTTTGAAAAGCAGGAATGGATAATATGGTTAAAAAAATGGTTTTACTCTATCAAGTATTGGAGTGGATGGTAGTGAATGTAAGTCAGCATTTGAAAATATTGGAATAGAGAAGGATATATGGTCATGCTGTTCATAATTTATGTGATATCGACGGTGAGGAGATTGAAAAAATAGAAATACAAGTTCAAATTACTGTTTTTTCTTTTTATCAAGAGCTTGTAAAAAGAAAAAACAGTAATTTGAATTTATACATACAGAGCTAATGAAACTGTTCTCTCATTTACGAGAAATACAAGGTTTTTCATCTTCCCTTTGTTTAATTTTTCTACCATGATAATAATGTTTAAATAATGTTGAACTGTATGACAGTTTTAAATAACATTATTAACCTGTGATATATCATACAGTATGTAGTTTTTGAAGTACAAGGTCAGATTGTATTTGTATAGTTTTTGTATTTTACGTATACATGTAGAATTGTATAATTTTTTGAAAGCCATATGAGCATCAATACTTTGGTTTTCATGATTGAAATTAAATTTTCATTTGCAGTTGGAGTCAAAATCAACTGCAGTGAAAGGGGATTAAGTTTAAGTATGAATTGCATTTTGAGAAGTTGTTGATTTTGAAGTCTTTTACTGGATCTATTTTATGATATATTTTTGATGGTTAAAGGTATAAACTGCTATGTTTTACATGTTTCTTTGTATGCAAATATTATACAAGCAAATATAGTGTCTGAAAAATTGGGAATATCTGTGTACACAAGGTATTTATGGTCATGAAACAGGAAAGTATTGCAATCAGGTGATTGTAAGGTTTTTTATATGTAGTTGCATTTATTTAAGGTAAATACCATATAAATGTAAAAAGCAATTTAAACCCAACTAATACTTTAAGTTAGTGAAAATTACTATCACTAAATTGACCTCTTCTTAAACCATTTTAACTTAATTTGTGCAGGCATTTTCCCTTTACAGCTTATGCAAATGCTATTCACCAAAATAGATATAAGTTTGCTTCCAAACAAAAATTTTATAGAGAACTGTTAAAATATTTTAATGCTGGATATTGAAGCAGATAATAAAATATATTTTCAAAAAATTAACTTATCACGTTTTTATTCAAATGACTTGAAGTATGATCTATTATGTCATGGTGGTATAGACAAACCGTTTTTTTTTTTTTTTTTTTTTTTTTTCAAAAAATTAAGAAGATCAATATATATATATCAATAAAATCAGTTTAAACTGTTATCATCGTATTTAATTCTCTTTGGGGAAGTAAACTGTAGATCCATACGAATAACTATTTTGTTTGGGAAATGTGCTAGAGGAGCAAAAAAAGAATGTGCTTGGAGGAGCAAGGTCAAGGTCACCCCTACAAATGCTTCCGCTATGTCATCTGCAACTAAATACACTTGTTGATCGGAGTGAAACAGCAGCCTCTACAACAGCAGATCCAGCCGTCCCTTATAATGGTTTAAAATAGTCTATTAGAGATACAGCCATGGAAGGAGATATTAAGAATACCCTAGACACTGTAGCAGTTGAGATATTGTCTACGGAAATACGGGATCGTAAGTTTTTCAGTCGTTTTTACTATTTGTACCGTCTAGTAATATTACTATCAGTATCATCAATCGTAAGCCTGCTCGAGTACCGAGTCCAGGTCGTTGCCATATGGTAATTACACTGACAGTGGAAGCGGCTTCGTAAGAGTTTGACTAAATTTGTGGAAAGTAATGTATTTTAGAATTTTTTCGTAGACACTGTAGGGAAGGTTTGCCATTTTAGTTTTCAACAAAAATGTGGTTGGTCACCGGCTGTTTTGTTTTGAGAATATTTTTTTTTCAATGAACAGGACATGGACCACAATCCATAAGTTTGATCACCTATACTAAATCATGAAAGTTTGAAATTTTTTAATATCTTAAGAATTATATGACAAAATTTTCGTGTGCATCATCCTTTCGGAATAAGTCCAATTAGGATATTTGATACTGTACTTTCTGAACTGTAAACCAAAATCTTTTTAATTCATCGGTTTGGTCTCCAAACATTAATGCACCACAAAGATGTTTATGGACCATACAGGTGAGTGTTAATTTATGTTAAGGATAGTGGCATTGCACTTGAATCTACTTAAGATCTAGTATTTGTTACTGACAATTTAGTTTATGACTGACCAGTGATTTAATTTCCATTTTTTAGGTTTTTCTATTAATTAATAAAGTAGAAATTATGAAACATTGTTATCTTTTTGCATCTTGAAAATTGACAACTACATAAGCAGTTTATGAATTGAATTTCAGATGATGTTCTTCAGTAGTCTGTTTAAATTATTTAATGACAAAGTATAATGTGACTTATTTATAATGTAGTATTGTTTATAGAGTGCTGACCATGAAATGATGATAAGTAGCCAAGTTTTTGTTCATTGAAATAATTGGTGCTTAATTATTTTGTGAATAATAACAATTTAAAGTTTATTCAACCATTGTATATATATTATAAAATGCACATAAAATGGAAACTGTTTTGCCATCTCAGGTTTAAGAAAAATCAAATAGATAAATTAAAATGAAATAAAATAGTACAAAACAATACCAACAAAAAAGAATGGTTAAAAGTAATTATTATGTTTTACTAATAAAAAGAGATGTAGCAAGTGGATAAAAGCTATTTTTAAAACCATTTGCTTCATCTTAAAGTTACAAATCTACATTTGCTTTGGAGAAATTTAAAAAGTTTGTGAGCAGGGTGAGTGGTATGCAGGGTGAGTGGCAGGATGTCATTTCAGTGAATTTTTTCTTGGTTACATATTGCTGTTAGCAAGGAGTTACTATCAGCAACTCCTGACTATTTGTATAAAATGTATATATACAGAGAGTCATATGTGCACGTACTATTGTGTACATGTGTGAAAAGCTTCTGGTTGACTGATAACAAAAAGATTCATTGTTATCTGGTCCAGATATTGCCAAGGGCCGTATATTATTATATCTGTTTACCCTGTAGTTGGCAAACTTACTCAGTACTTAAATACAGGGCTATTCCACTGTATTTTCCCCTCTATAGCTTTTCATATATATTAATGTGCAAATCTTTTACATCCCTTCATATCTCAGATAACAGAAATAGAGAAAAAGAGCAGTTGCACCTCATCTTCTCTCTCATAAGCAGTATTGGAAAGATAAAGAGTGTCTAAAAGTTTTAGAGCGAGAAAATATTTTGGACCCGGAGTAGAGGGTTGAAATGCTGTGGAATGGACCTGCAAAGTGCATATTGCATGCCAATTCAAGCATAATTTTTAGCAAAAAATTTATGAAACCATATCAGTGATACTTTGTGGTATGTATTGTTATTACTCAATCAGTTTGATTTCCTTTATAATTACCAAATGTACACTGAATGACAAGAATATTAGAAGCACAGCTTTTTATATTGATCCTGTTTTTATGTAATTTTATGCAATGCACTTGCCCTAAATGTCATAGCCAACTCATCTTAACAGATATGAAATCTGCACTTTTAACTGTATAATGAATCACTCAATCAAAAGAAAATAATCATCAAATCCAATTGTTTCTTGATTACCATCAATTTGTGTTATTCCTGCAATCCAACGAATGGTACTTTCAGAATGTTAACCCCAGAGGAAAGTGATGATGAAACTGTGTTTGGATTATCAGATGGTCTTGAAGGTGGGTGACACAATGATTGCTGGTAATTACCCACAAATTTCAAACACCATGTATTCCTTTTATTTCTGTTTTTCATGATATTTAGCTTTTTGTCATTCACAAAAGCAAACCTGATTTTGCTATCAACTTTTGATTAAACATCTTATTTGTAAGACTTTCTTAATTGTCTATGTTGAGATGTTATCAAAATATTCTTTATATGATGTGAGATGAATAAAATTTATTTTTCTTCAAATTTAGTAAGTAATTGCTGTATCATTGATCCTCATTCACATTGAAATGTGTAAAGGTGATTACAAACAAAGATAATCCAAAACTTACAAGCAAAATATTCATTTTTTTCTCTTCACTATTGTAATATAGTGATAGGTTCTGTATGAGAGTGGATATCTGATATTTTGTAAAGGATACAGTACCTTTACTTAAAAGTGGGGGAAAATATGCAGAGTGGCATTTTTATTAGAATACCTATATATTGGGCATGTCCTATATCATGATAGTAGCTTGTATGAGGACAAAACATATCAAGAATAAAGAAACCATTTGATTGATATCTGTTTTCTAGCAACTAATCTCTTAAATAAAGAGTGCAAGACTGAAGACAACATGAGCAAGAATAGCAAAATGAAGAAAATAAAGGTAGGAGATATTTTATATATATATATATATATAAAGAAAAAAACGAACAAGGTTAATCTATAATTTACATAAGTCCCTACAGCTGTTTCGGTCCAGAGGCCTCGTCAGGGACGCAAACAGAACAAAATATATATATTTATTATTTACAATTTATGTTTCTTTCAATCAGTGGTGTTAACCATGGGCCACATGCCAAATGGCAGTAAAATTGAAATTAAATTTGTCTAAATTAATTCATACACTGGCCACTGTTTTAACATTCGGCCAGTACACACTTGCACCAGCCCTAGTATCCCCAAGAGGCAAGTAAGTTTCCAGGGCACACTTTTTTTAATTGACATTCGTAAATTTTGAAGTACACCTAGAGTCACAGTGGCATTTTGTTGAGTATTAGTTGACCTTTTTCATTCTCACTTATCTTTTAGAAATTGTTGTGCAAGAGTGAGGACTATCCCACCAGCATCTTCTACATTGTCACCATGGAGTTTTGTGAAAGGTTTTCATACTATGGCATGAAAAGTGAGATTTCAGTGTTTAGGAAAAATATTTCAGTTTCAAAAAAACATTCTTGGCCTAGAATGTGCATAGTATCACTATTATATACCTTATTCTACAGTATATAGGATAGAGAACTTTGTTTTAGATATGAAGAGAAATTAGGCAATTTCTCAGTAGATTGTTAAGTTATTGTTGTCACAGATAAAATATGAACAAAATACATTTAAAGAATTGGTATCAATAGTTTTACTACTAAAAGCTGTATAACAAAATAAATAAGTATAACTAAAACTGTATAGATTTTAAAAAGATAAACATTCATACAAAACCTTGCACTTTTCAGCAATTTTGGTGATCTATTTGACCAAAAAACTTCTGTTTGATGAGAACAGTGCCACTGCCCTGTACCATATCTTTAGCATGCTGTGTTACTTCACCCCTTTATTTGGTGCTATGCTGGCTGATGGATACCTGGGAAAGTTCAAGTAAGACTCTTGTTTTATTAACTTATCTGAGTTTTCTTTTGGAAGCATTTTTTCCCCATTTTAAAGTATTTTAAAGATATAACCAAATATATTCAAGCAATACTGGTTTTGATTTGTTTGAGAATTACATATTTGATTCATTCAACAAAAGGCAATTGAATATGTAGTCATACAATGATTAAATTGAACTGTTGTGTAATAATTAAATGGCACTTCCATGTAAGGGAAACTGCAGATGTTTGAAATTATGTTTTGTATTTTATTTGCAGGACAATTCTTTACTTGTCTATAGTATATGGCATAGGAAATTTGATCATGTCTCTTACTGCATTACCACCTCCAGAAAGGTAAGCTTATATTATACAACACTATGCCAATAATAGAACTTTAATATGGTTCATCATAAGTCAACTCACTGCATAATGACAGTGACTTGACAGTGACTTGATCATGCTGACATTAAGAGTACATAGTTTATCTTCTTTTAATGTGCAGTGTACATGTTACAAATATATGTATATTTGTTAATTTCTGTTCTAATATTCCTATGACTTCCACTGTTTTAATCCCTTTCAGTGAATGTTATACTTATCTTGATATTTTCCATTTAGATTATACTATTAAGTTTTTTAATGGTGAGTGAATCTTTGTAAAGGCATCCCTCAATAATACTTAAAAACCTAGTAATTTTAGCTGCAAGTGCATTTTCTACATTTTTCTTTATGTTCTGAGTTCTTTGACCTGACAGTGTCTATGATGATTATTTTAGAAAGCTGTGCTCAATACTTCCAATACTGTAGCACACCAGTCTAAGAAAGAAAAATAAAAAGAAACAAGAGATTCATATTTATATTTTCTGTTTTAGTATTGGTCCCTCAGTGGGGCTCTTACTTATTGGTATTGGTACGGGAGGAATTAAGCCATGTGTTTCTTCATTTGGTGGGGACCAATTCCTAGCTAACCAGGTACAGTGAACATAGCGGGGCAATTTTAGATTTTTCTAATTTTTCATTTCTGGTTATTGTCATTTTTATGTACAGACACAGATGTGTCTGTACATATAGCCATCATCTGCGTCTGTCGTCGCCGTCGGTGCCGTCGTCGCCGTGCACTTTTACCGATAACACGATAAGTGGAAAACCATTTTACCTTTTGACTTGAAACTTGCAGAACTGATGAATATTCATAATACGCAGGTCAAGTTCGAAAATCAGCATGAGCCGGTCACTTTTAAGGAATTTATGCTGTTTTTTCACTTTTTTCAGCATATATACAGCACCGATAACACAATAAGTGGAAAACCATTTTACCTTTTGACTTGAAACTTACAGAACTGATGAATATTCATAATACGCAGGTCAAGTTCGAAAATCAGCATGATTGGGCCATTTTTAGGGAATTTATGCTGTTTTTTCACTATTTTCAATATAAATACAACACTGATAACACAATATAAGAAAAACGGATTGGCCAATTGTAATTATACTCACAGGAGTGGTCAATCTTACTAAAACGCAGGTTGAGTTCGAAAATCAGCATAATCGGGCCATTATTTTAGAAGTTATACTGTTTTTCACATTTCCTCAGATTCAATTATTAGGCATGTTAACAGTCTCATTATTTAACTAATAAGATGCCTAAAAGTGTTTGTTTGATATTTCCTGCATCTTTACAACATTGTTAGTTGATTATGTAAAAAACATGGTAAACTTGTTATCATGTATTGTGTAATAAAGTGTCAAAAATGGAAATAAACTCATATCATTGCAGTTTGTCAGATTCAATCATCCACTATGTTCAGAATCTCAGAATGGAGGAAATTGGACATTTAACACTGTTCTATTGATACTTTTCCCATCTCATCAATTTTCTTAGTTGGTCATATAAAAATGGCAGTAAAATGTTTATTTTGTTTTATGTTAAAAAAGTGTTAAAAATGGAAATAAACCCATTTCAGAACAGTGCTGTCTTGTTTACATTTTGGCATTTTCAAGGCGTGACTTTGAAGTTCCATGGGCCTGAAGACCTTTGCTAGTCACATTTTCTGAATATCTGTGATACAAATATTTTATAATTAAAAATTGATGGTCATTAAGCTGTTAAACATTATGTAATATTGCATCAAAATTTGAAGAAACCCCTATTTTGGGCACTGCTTCCATGATGACCATTTAAGGAAAATCATGTCACTTACTGTTCTCAAACTTACAGGAAAGAAACATGGGACTAAAATACAGCTTCAGTAGGCAATGCAGTCTGTTTGGTATTTTTATTTATTTATTTATTTTTTTTGGCAGTTAAACAGTTTTTTGTGAAAATTTAATTTTTCACATATTGGCATTTTCAAGGTGTGACTTTAAAGTTCCATGATCTTGAAGACTTTTGCTTGTCACATTTTCTGAATGTCCATGTTACTAATATTTTATTAATAACATTTGATTGTCATTATGCTGTTAAACATTATGTAATGTTGCATCAAAATTTGAAGAAACCCCTATTTTGGGCACTGCTCCTATGATGACCATTTAAGGAAAATCATGTCACTTACTGTTCTCAAACTTACAGGAAAGAAACATGGGTCTAACATACAGCTTCAATAGGCAATGCAGTCTGTTTGGTAAATTTTTCTGGCAATTTAACAGTTTTTTGTGAAAATTTAATTTTTCACTTATTTGCATCTTTATTTTCTGTTCTTTGTCTGTACATTTGCCAGCTTTGCTGCCTTGTTGTTATATGCTTTCTATATTGGTTGTCAAATTAGTGCTGTTGCTTTCATTAAGTTTTAGATTAAGTTCAATACTAATAAAACCTAACATCAGTCAGGTTTTATGGGTGGTGTATTTTCATATAGTAGTGCATAATAATTTTTGGTGCCAGTTCTGTGCAGTATTATTTTTTGTATTGGATTTTTTTTCCTGTTGTTCCAGGCCCATCTTGTGGCTAGCTACTTCTCACTGTTCTACTTTGCTATCAATGCTGGAAGCCTCATCTCCACCTTCATTACACCAGTGCTCAGAGGTGAGCTGGTCTGCTGAGACACATAACTTAAACTGAGTTGTTTTTCATTAAATAAGTTCAAGTTAATTCTTCTAATGCTCAGCAGATTTTGCTTTTTATGTCAATGGAATTGTTTTAAGGTAAATTTCCCTTCTGAGTTGGTTATGCTCACACCATCTCATTATACAGATAGATGTGCAGACAGCAAACTAAAAACCTATCTATCCAAATAACAGACATGGAAACAAAAATCAATGTTACACCTTTGGTTTTTTATTGATGCTAGTTAAATTTACTGTTCACATGGCAGTGGCTGTGATATGGTAGTGGTATCCATTGTTTTATATAGAAAATATAAGATACATAAGTCTTTAGTAAATTAAAGAAATGAATAAGCAGCATTGAAGAGGAAATCTTTCAAAAGGAATAATTTTAACCAATAACTGAATGACTTTTATGATAATAAGATTTAATTGATGACTTTATATCATAGAATAATATATTTTTTCAGCTGACGTCCACTGCCTTGGAGCCAATGATTGTTATCTCTTGGCCTTTGGTATGCCTGCAGCACTGATGATCGTAGCTTTATGTGAGTAGTAGGCTTAAAACAGCTTATCTTTCTGAGAGCTTTATGAAGCTACTACTTTGAAGATCATTGTAAATATTACATTTCACAGTGTGATGGGTTTTCCCTGTATGTGACATTTTTTGACTTATAACCTATAGTGTGTTTGTTGTAGAAGAATAGAATGTTGTTCTTAGTACTAAAATGAATGGCGTGTAATATGAGACTATTGATTATAATATAGTTAAAGTGTTTCTTATATATGCGTAGGAGACAACACAAAGCATAGTCAAAGGTAAATATGATAACTGCGTATTAAAATGATACACATCATTTCACATATTAAACCATTTGTCATGTCTTTTGTTGTAGTGGTTTTTGTTTGTGGAAAGTCTTCTTATAAGATCAACCCACCTACTGGTAACCTTCTGGGAAAAGTTTTCAAATGTATTGGGGTGAGTTTGTAAAGACACATAAAACCTCTCATCATTCCTTCACAGCATGTAATGGATCTGCTAATGTTTTCTTAAAAAAATTACAATGATAACTATTTGATAAAAAATTTACAAGTATTTTAGAAGTATTGACTGTTCTTTGGTGTTAGATCTTGTGAAATGTCATATCTGTTAATTTATCTTTATCATAATTCACAGTCAGCTTCATTGATAAGTAAGTGCTCACTGAAGAAGGGAACTTAACAATTCAAGCTGAATGATTAAATTTGGATTGATATATGATATCTGTTAACAACATTATGGTATTTACTGTGGAATTTATTGTTTCAGAGAGCAATCAAAAATAAATTTAGCAGACAAAATAAGTTTGAAATGCGGGACCATTGGTTAGACTACGCAGATGATGTCTATGAAGTAAGCAATGCACGCTCGCGCAAGCAGACACACACACATTTACAAATGATATTTTCTGTTTTACTTTAGTATGATGAGGTCAATTTGTTATATGTGTTTACCAGCTTAAATCCATAAACAATAGCTTGGATATGTGCATTCCATTATTCACAGTTTTGCACTTTTATTTTTAGAACAGCTTCATAGAAGATGTGAAAGCAGCACTACATGTGCTCTTTATGTTTCTTCCCTTGCCCATTTTCTGGTCTCTTTTTGACCAGCAGGGGTCAAGATGGACACTACAGGCAGAGAAAATGGATGGACAGGTAAATATTTCAAGGACAAGCTGATTATCATTCACAAATAAATAATAATAATAAATAAATAAATGAATGAATAAATAAATAAATAAATAAAAGGTAAATTTTTTTATATTAACTTTCAAAGGGGATTTAGTTTTTTTCTCCTTTTTGTTTTTGATTTCCGTTCATTATTGTTGTTGTTGTTGTTGTTGTTGTTGTTGTTGAAAAAAGCATGCTTGCATGCATTTTAAATTACAGATAATTTTACTCATTGCAGCACCTTATATTGTCTATTTTTTCCATTTAAGATTGTTGGATCATGGATTCTCAAACCAGATCAGATGCAGGTAATAAATTTCTATGGCCCCATTCAGAATTGGAGATCTGAGGGTCAAATATGGCGACCCACTACAAAGCTTGCCATCTAATCTGCTAATAGACACTGAATAGATATCCCGTGGGGAAGTATTCAAGTGGGTTGGTCATATTTGAACCTCGGATTTGTTAGTCCACTGTTCTGAATGAATGCAGCCTATGGTCAAATCATTTATACATAAGCTCTTTAATTTGAATTAAACCTTGTGCTCATACCAGTAGCAATATTTGCTGGAAATTAGTCAATGAATAGCTCAAAATATTGTCAGTTTTGTCAGTGATACTATTTGATTTACTATGGGCATTAGTGTCAGCCATCTTGGATTGTAAATGGGCACATGATCACAGCTTGTTAGATATCCATGTGTTTATTTTGAACATTTTTTTCTTCAGGTGATAAATCCAGTGCTTATTATACTGCTCATTCCATTTTTTGAAACTCTTGTTTATCCTTGTCTGGACAAGTGTAAAATTCCAAACAGGTAATGAAGACCAAGTCGAAATGTAAACAGTGAAACAAATTAATGGTGAATAATCACAAGTTTAAAAAAACTCCATTTATTAACGAAAGTCATTCAGGCAAATGATAAATCTTTCCAAAAGATACTAAAATATTGAAATGGTAATGCTTCAGGCCACTCCAGAGGATGTGCATGGGGATGCTCTTAGCTGGATGTGCCTTCATTATAGCAGGCTTTGTACAGATCAAGATAGATGTGAGTAAAGGCCAGTAGTCTGTCCATTCCTTTGATATTTACTTAACTCATACAAATCATAATAGACAATACTAATGGTTTGAGCTTCAATTTTATAGTAGGTATTGTAGAAATGGAGAAAGATGCATGATGTACCCCCACCCCCAAGCATATGTGTATGTGTTTAGATATGTGGTACTAGAGCAAGTGTGGCTTTTGAAAAAGATGTTTTAAATGAATGTATTGAAAAATCCTGACATGCTGTGTTTTCAGAGCACAATAGAGCCTCCTTTAGACCAGGGTCAGTCTAAGCTGTCCTATATAAATGCCTTGTCCTGCCCTGTCAACATATCTAGTAGCTTTTATAATGGGACCTTGGACTACACACAGGTAAGTTGTTGAACATCTTTGGAGGACTCCACATTATACAAGTCCGAGAATTTATTAAACATAGTGGGTCTTGCATTCATGTGATATATACCTATTTGCAAGGTACATTTAGTTTGATTGCAATTGTTTGAAATATCCACCTTATTTATAAATACACATAATTCTATGTTGGATGGCAATTTATCCCCACTATACATATTGAAATATTACTGGAGAAGACATTTATTTTATTTAATTTAATTTTCTCTGTAGGGTGCTGGCCCAATAAAGATAAAGAGTGGCAACTATAGTGTCAAGTTCTCAGCATCTTGTGCCAGCCCTCAAGAAGTGCAATTTCCCCTGAACCTGCAGAGTCAGAAAGGTTATGAAACAGTGATAGCCAACAATGGAGGGCAACTACAAGCTTCACAGCTAGATGATCATTTAGATAAACCAAAAAAAGGACAGGCTTTAATAAGGTAAATTTTTACACAGATGCACATGGCAGACATCTTTCCAGCACTGCCCAGACTTGGTAACTTGTTTTATATCTGCTTTTTGTATCTGCTTTTTTTTTAATATCTGCTTACAGATTGAAACGATCATACTTGATGAGTGACAATGTTATTCTGTATAGATGTAGTTTAACTGATGACTTGATGGCTGTATAAGAAATGAACTAGGTGGTAATTTATAGGTTATTATTGTGTGATTTTTTTGAAAATCAGGCAGATTTTAAAAAAAGTTATGACTCTGTTTATATTAGTTATGTCTAGCATATAGTCAACTGATAACTTGGTTTTTATATGAGAAATTTACTAGGCTGTAATTTGTAAGTGGTCATAGTGTTATTTGGGAAAATTATATTGTTATAATCAGGCAAAAAAAAAAAAAAAACTTTCATAATGTTGTCAGTTTCACCACTTTTCACAAATTGTGAAATTTAATGTAATGTGAACACAGCCATTAATTTTACCACTGCGTAAGGAACAGGTATTTTACTTGTGTATAGGCATTAACTCCCCTTTCAAGTTTCCATGATAATTCATTCTTTACACACCCTGGATTTCAGAACCTTTTTGGAAACTCTGCAAACCAAAAATGGTGAGACAGTGTATGTTTTGTTTGAAATCACCTCCAGCACACGGAAACTTAGAATGGCGTTTATTATGAATACACTATCTACTTTTCCAGCTGTATATATGCATTGCCATCTTCATCCTCCAATATTACCCTGCATTTACATGAGATAGACAGCAGCCAGAAGAAGTATTCCCTTCCACTTCATCCGTTTGAATCTAGTGGCTATTTCCTCATGGAACCAGGGGGGTAAGAACACACAGATAGTAATTGGTGTAATTTTTTTTTTTTTTTTTTTTTTTTTTTTTTTTTTTTTTTTTTTTGCATATTTGCAACATGTGTAAAATGGAAATTTCTGCCAAAGGTTAACTTCAGTGTTGCTCAGGTGAAGGCACCTCTTCATGATAGGTGCTTGGGCTTTCTTGGTATTTTAGTGCCAATGGAAACAAGGTGCTTGTTAACCTTACCAAATTATTCTTAGATTAAGATGTGTGTAATTATATGATTGAAATTTGCTATGAGTGTGCTGGTAGTGTTACCAACAATGCCATTATTCCTACATAGGTATACTATGATGCTGGTCTATCCCAGCAGCAATGAGAGTAAGCTGATCCCAGAGAAACTGGATGCTAAGATGGGTGGGGTCTACTCCTTGGTGCTACAGCCAAAGAAAGGGGGAGCAGAGCAAGAGGTATGTTTTGAAATAACAGGGGTGGGTATATTTGTGTAGAATTTACTCTTTTTTCATTTGGATATGACATTTTAAAGGAATTTTTTTTGGTTTGTTTAAAATTATAAAAATTGTAGTGAAGATAATATCCTCTGTTCCAGTTTCTGATTAATAGACATTGATTGTAGTTCATAATCTCAGAGTAAAGAAAAAATAGATAAATGTTTTTCATGAGAGAAGAAGCATATGTGAAAAATGTTTATGTTTACTGTGTTGTACATTTTTTACCATAAAGCTATTTTTTTTTTGCAAATGAAATAGGTCAGGGTCATATGTTTGATCAGATGAGATTAAAAACAGTAGCTAGCAATTTGTATTATATTATTAAGTAATGTGTTAAAATGTAGTTTAATATGCATTTATTATATTATATTATATTATATTATATTATATTATATTATATTATATTATATTATATTATATTATATTATATTATATTATATTATATTATA